TATATATATATATATATTCAATAACTAGCGTCGATATCTAAAGAGTTGGCGACCGCGATTACTTCCATTCTTCTTAAGGTTGAATTATACCTTGAGGACGAGGAATAACCGAGTCACCATTCTCCTTATACATCGAACCACTGTAAGACGTTATATTTCTACGACTCTGGGTTGAAGTATACCCTTAGTACGAGGAATATTGCATTATTACAGAATTCCACAATCACGCATGAATTATTTAAATCAACCTTCGTATCGCAGAGGGTTGATCCACCACGCAGCACACCCGTGGCAGCAATACGCAAAGTGCTGCATGGTGTCGTATTATGAGACATCAAACTCACAAAATCAAGTTTGCGATACATGCTATTTAGAAACCGTTCCTCCCTCCGAGAGAACTATTCGCGATTACGTCACGTTACATTACGCATTAATCAGCACTGCTAGTGTTTTCCACAATTGCTCCCGCTGCAATTGCTCATTGAACGACGTACAATTTCCATGCATCTGTCCATCGTGCCGCGCCACGACAGCTAAATTCCTTTCATTAATTGACGTTGTCAGATCAGCGCATCCTAGCACGTATGCAATCACGCTCATAATTAACCGCTTTTATCGAAGCTCGCGGAACGACCATACATATGTGCCCGCCGCGATATAATTTGATTCCGCCTTCTCAACCCGAGTTGCCGTACTCGCGTTGGTTAGATACAGCCATATGCTGTAAGTCGAATCTTTTCGCGCATCGCGAAACAAAGCATTATTTATGCATAGAGTGCTACGCTGACAAGACGCCCAGTGAACGATACGAGTACGACTTCGTATCGCGACATTACATAAATCTCGGATCTCTTGATAGCTTAGAGGAGTGCGACCACTGCTCCGTAATAATACCGCGCATAGGAACGACAGTCGCGTGCGCCGTTTGTCCATTAGTATTGCGAGACTTTATAGAATACCTGCAGACCTCCCAGGAGGCGCCCTACGCCAGCCACCAGCCAACTATCCTCGCAATTGAGCAAATCCGCACTTCTCCTATCCAACAAAATAATAATCCCGCTGAACAACAATAAAGAGACAAGTTCAGCTCCTTCCTTCTCAGATTCCGGTAGTCAGACGGATAAAACCTGACTTGGTGACAGCAGCCTATCAACCCCCAAGCTACCCTGTCCTCTCAATTTTATTTATCCTTATTTAAAATTTTCTGAGACAGTAGGACGCAACAAATAGTTCTCAATTATACACGAAGCGATTATGAACGCTATGAGGGAACTTCTTCCAAACGATAAATCGATCGCTCATAGTCATTCATATTTCACGAAAAACGTTTTTGCCTCTACGCGCGAGCTTTATTTGGAGACTATCGAACGAATGACTTTGCTATTTGATGACGAACACGGGGTCTCACTTGATTCGTCGTCCGTTCGTTTTGATACTAATGCTCACTTTGGAAAGTCATGTTATCATCAAATTAGATTACCGCGTATAAATTTGCCAAAATTTAATGGCACCCCCGCAGATTGGCTTCCATTTAAAGATTTATTTAATTCACTAGTAATTTCTAATCCTACCCTTTCTTCCGTTGAGAAGCTTCAGTATTTAAAGACTTGTTTGGTCAGCCCGGCTGACCATCTATTAAAGAACATGGCAGTTACTGACGACAATTTTCATAGAGCATGGGAAGCACTAATTGCATTTTACGAAAATAAAAGACTATTGGTGAACGCTGCTTTACATTCTTTGCTTAGTCTCAAACGCATGACTAAAGAATCCGCTGTCGAAATGGAACGTCTTTATACAAGTATCCTACAGATATATAGATCATTGGAAAATCTTCAACGGCCTGTTGACACTTGGGATGATTTTCTCGTATTCCTTGCAATACAACGTCTCGATCCGGAATCCGTTAAGGCATGGGAACATCATTTAGGTGCTGCTAAGGAACCGCCTACTTGGTCACAGTTTACGGACTTTTTAGTTTCAAGACTTCGCTCTCTTCAAGCGTTTGAGAAATCTCGCGCTGGGAAATCCCTTCAAAACCAACCAGCCACAGCCAAAGCTTGCTATCAGGGAAAGTCTAATCAGTCTGACTCATATACGGGACGCTGCTGTCCTCTCTGTTCGGGCAAGCACCACACATCGATGAGCCCTAAATACAGTGCGAAAACAGTGCCTCAAAAGAAAGTCATCATCAGCAAGCATAAGTTATGCTTCAATTGTCTAGGTTCTCATCGAATGGCAAATTGCCGATCAACCAAACGTTGTTTTAAGTGTGGTCTTCGACACCACACCACCATCCATACTGGAACTTCTTCCACCATATAAGTTAAGACGGATGATAAGGTGTCTGATAAATCTACCACCGCCAAGCAGACAGCTGATGAAACTCAAACTGCACTTTCAGCTATTACATCCATTGCTCCAACCCTTCGGGTGCTCTTAGCTACCGCTCGAGTTCGAGTGACATCTCTTAATGGTAACACCGCAATAGTAAGGGCCTTGATTGATCAGGGATCGGAGATCTCAATAATATCGGAACGCATTGTTCAACGCTTAAACATGACCAAGAACCGTTCATCTCTTTCCTTGATTGGTATTGGCGCTAAAGCTTCCAATAAATCTAAAGGTGTTGTTAACGTCACACTTAGTCCACAGTTTGAATCTGATTTTGAATGTACTGTCAATGCTTACGTACTGGTTCACCTCACATCATTCATTCCGTCAACGCATGCTGATCAAACTTGGTGGCCACACTTGGATGGATTACAATTAGCTGACCCTGAATTCGCTAGACCTGGATCGATTGACCTCATCTTAGGTGCAGATGCCTACGGAATCATTCTACAAGATGGATTGATTAAAGGTTCTCCAGACACTCCGATAGCTCAGCATACGGTATTTGGATTGATAATATCGGGCCCTACTGGTCTTCCCATGCACCACGAGAGGGCCTTGAGCTCTCACGTGGGGATGGAGGAGGATATATGCCTGATTCTTAAGAAATTCTGGGAATTAGATGAAGTACCGGCTTCAAAAGATAGATCCTTAATTCCAGAGGATCAAGAATGTGAGAGTCATTTCCAGAGCACATATTCTAGAGACCCACAGGGTAGATATATAGTAAGACTTCCATTCAAGAAATCCACTACGCACTTAGGAAACTCGAAGAAACGGGCCACTTGCCTCGTTCATAAATTGAATCAACGTTTCAAATTGAATCCTACCTACTCTAAAATGTATTCGGATTTCAATGACGAATACGCATCATTACAACACATGGAATTAGTACCGGATACCTCGACAGAACTATCTCCTGCATTTTATTTACCTCATCACGGAGTCTTGCGGGAGACTAGTCTAACTACAAAGTTGCGAGTAGTATTTAATGGCTCTAGTAAAAGTACCTCAGGTTTTTCATTAAACGACTTACTTTATGTTGGTCCTAAATTGCAAACTGACCTTCTAGACGTTCTGATATGGTTCCGACAGTTCCGTTACGTATTCGCCTCTGACATACAAAAAATGTTTAGACAGATAAAGGTCCATCCAGCGGACTGGAGATACCAACGCATTTTATGGATCAATGACACAAATCAGTTAGTGACATACCAATTGACTACTGTGACTTATGGCACGGCGTGTGCCCCTTACTTAGCATTGCGGGTAATTTCTCAACTAATAATAGATGAAGGTATTCGATTTCCTTTGGCAGTTCCCACGCTTACTCAAGGTCGCTACGTAGACGACCTCTTTGGAGGTAGCGATACAATTGAAGAAACGCAAGCCGTTATCCAACAAGTAAATCAGCTTTGCACGGCGGGCGGCTTTCATTTACAGAAGTGGACTAGTAATCATCCAGACATTCTAAGCTTAATTCCTGAAAAGGATTGAATTTCCCAGTCTTCGGTACCGATCGAAGAGAACTTAATTGTTCATTCTCTTGGACTGGCTTGGCATCCTGGGGCGGATGGCTTTCAATTTAACTTCCAAAACCCATCAATTCAGATTCCGACAAAGCGGACTGTATTATCTACGATTGCAAAGCTTTTTGATCCCCTCGGACTTCTTTCACCGATTATTATATTAGCAAAAATACTTATGCAAGAGATTTGGACCTTGAGATTGCAATGGGATGACCCACTTCCTACGAAGACGGCGGACAAATGGATTTCATTTGTTAATAGTTTGCAAGACTTGTCCACACTCAACTTTGCCAGATGGCTCGGACTAATACGAGGTGTGATCAAAAAGTAAGGTGACTTTTTGAATTTCGCGCGCTCTGTACACTCTAATTTAAAAAATTTTTTTTTGTTGTGTTGGTACACTCGTCACGATCATATGTTCACAGTTTTGACTATATAGCATGTTTTGTTTTTATGTGAGAGGCATAAAGGTTAGACTCGTGTTTGCGTGCTCGGCGATTTTTTGCTTTTGAAAATAATGGAGCAGAGAGTTTGTATTAATTTTTGTGTAAAAAATGGTATTAAGTGTTCAAAAACTCTTGAAATGTTGACAGTGGCGTACGGTGAGTCAACTTTGAGCAAAAAAAATGTTATAAATGGTATAAGTTATTCCAAGAGGGCCGAGAAAATGTTAACGATGAACCTCGCTCTGGACGCCCCAGCACGTCAAAAACCGACGAAAATGTTCAGGAAGTGAAAGAAATTGTGTTGAAAAATCGTCGAATCACGATTAGAGAAATAGTTGATGATCTTAACATATCGTTTGGCTCATGCCAATCAATTTTAACGGATGTTTTGGGTATGACACGTGTGTCAGCGTTTACTAGTCGTTACTAGTGAGTAGTTTTTTGGCCAAAAACAATACTATCATCATGCCTCAGCCACCGTATTCACCAGACTTGGCCCCCTGTGACTTTTTCCTCTTCCCAAAATTGAAAAGGCCCATGAAAGGACGAAGATTTGCGACGATTGAGGAGATTAAGGCTGCATCGCTGGAGGAGCTCAAGGCAATACCCAAAAGTGCATTTCAGAAGTGTTTTGACGACTGGAAAAAGCGCTGGCACAAGTGCATTGTATCAGAGGGGGATTATTTTGAAGGGGATAACATAATTTTGGATGAATAAATGAATATTTTTTTATAAAAATGAAAAGTCACCTTACTTTTTGATCACACCTCGTATATCATCAACACTTTGAAATACACGGCTTTTCGGATGCATCTCCTCACGCCTACGCGGCAGCTGTCTATAGTCGATCAATTACGAGTATTGGGGTAGTTCATACTCAACTTATTTGCTCCAAGACTAAAGTCGCACCTCTGAAACGTATGACTATACCCCGACTTGAACTCGCTGGGGCCGTTCTTGTAACCAAGTTAGTAAAGCATTTATTGCAGGTCTTCAATCAATACAGTATCTCTGTTTATTTATGGACTGATTCCACTGTTGCATACACATGGATCATCAATCATCCCTCACGATGGAAGGATTTTGTGCACAACAGAGTTTGTTACATCCAAGAAGCATTACCACAAGCACAATGGGGTCTTGTCTCAGGACGAGAAAACCCGGCCGATTTAGCTACACGAGGACTTACACTCATGCAATTAGCTGAAAGAGAATTCTGGTGGAATGGTCCTGCCTGGTTACTGGAACCACCCGATTGCTGGTCTCAGAAGCCGACTACTTTCGAAAAGGAGGAGGTGATCGAGGAACGCTCTCGTAACATATTGACCACAAGGGTCACCTCAACCGAGAATTGGGACCTCTTACATAGATATTCCTCCCTCACCCGATTAGTCAGAATTACTGCGTTATGTCAGCGTGCAATTAACCGATTCAAAGGAATTTCTAATTCTTCCTTGCTCCATCCTATTACTACTACAGAGTTGCAAGTTGCGAAACTTTTTTGGGTCAAACATGTACAGGCTTCTGCCTTCTCTCAAGAGCTACAGTTACTCTCCACTGAACAACCCTTACCTTTATCACATCCGCTTAACAGACTTACGCCATTCAGAGACCATGAGGGTATTTTACGAGTAGGAGGACGCCTTCAAGCCTCGTCACTTGATATGGAGGCCAAACATCCAGCGATACTTCCCAGGCACTCGCCTCTTTCTCAGCTAATTATCGCTGATGCTCATCTACGGACATTACATGGTGGGACTCAGATTACTTTATGTACTATTCGAGAACAATTTTGGATTATCGGCGGACGTGTGCCTGTGAGAAGTCAATACTTAAATGCATCAAGTGCACTCGTTTCCGATGTGCGCGAGCACAACAATTGATGGGCCAATTACCGAGAGAGCGAGTGAACCCATCTCGTCCTTTTTTGAACACCGGTATTGATTATGCCGGACCTTTCTCGCTTAAGACTTGGAGAGGAAAAAACGCACGATCTTACAAGGGCTATATTGCTCTTTTCACCTGTTTTTCTACTTCCGCCATTCATCTTGAGGTGGTCACTGACTACACGGCTGACGCCTTTATGGCTGCTTACAAAAGATTTACAGGACGCAGAGGAATCTGTGCCACCCTTTGGAGTGATTGTGGCACCAACTTTAAAGGTGCTGACGTTGCATTACAAAGATTATTTTCGGAAGCAACAACCGAAGCACGACATCTCGCTACTTTGTTGGCCAACGATGGCACACAATGGAAATTTAACCCTCCATCGGCACCACACTTCGGTGGTAAATGGGAAGCGGCAAATCCGTAAAATACCATCTCCATCGAGTAGTTGGAGAAACCTCGTTAACATATGAGGAAATGACTACATTTCTAATCCAGATCGAAGCAATCCTTAATTCAAGACCTTTGACTCCATGCAGTGACGATCCAGATGATTTGAACGTACTAACCCCGGGTCACTTTCTAATGGGGTGCGCACCTACAGTTTTGCCAGAACCATCTCTCGAGGATGTAAAGTTAACTCGCCTATCTAGATGGCAACTGCTTAGGAAGATGGTAGACAGCTTTTGGACTAAATGGTCCAGAGAATATCTACAGCGTTACCATGCTATCTCCAAATGGCAACATAAATCGGACGCGATCAGTGAAGGCACCGTGGTACTAGTGGTCGATGAGAGATACCCTCCCTCCAAATGGCCATTGGGAAGGGTTATTGCAGTTCACCCAGGCGAGGATGGGTTCCCCCTTGTATGGGAGGCCTTGTCGTGGCAAGGGGGCTCACCCTGGATACCCTCGAGGACCAGGGTGCTAACATCCCACAGTACGGAGCACCTCGTTAGATAGAGGAGCTCTGTACGCTCGGGTCCGGCACCCCAAGGGAGTCTCCCTCCCAGGAGGGGGCTGCACACTCCCGGGGAACCCCTAGTCTTAGGACAGGGACCCACTGTGCCGGTAGGGGTTGGCGGCCCCAACTACAATCGCCCGGCGACTCGGCGCCGTGAGGGGGAGGTTTGCTCCCTCCCGAGGGTGGAGTGGTGGTCGTCCACCAGGGTCCCTGGTACCGCGTGGGGCCCTTCCGCTCCCACCTGTGGGAGTGGATGGTTCCCTCGCGGGCCCGGGGGCCGAAGAGGCGATGCAGCTTCGGCTGCAGGCGGGCTCTGGCGTTAGCCATTGAGCCCACGCCGGGGATAGGGAGGCGGATGCTTGGTGGAGTTCACTCCATTGCACCCAGGCATCCACCACCAGGCTTGCTCCAGTGGGCTGTGGTTGTTCACCAACCACAGCCCAGTGCACACTGGGCGTCTCTGGTGGAGGTGTGACCCGGGGGCCCGGGACCCGTGTCGCTAGGGCGAGCGGGGATCGGCCATCGGGTCATAGGTCAGAGTGCACTAGGGGAGGCCTCCCATTGCACGTAGTGCGTCTCTGACGGAGGGCGGGGGCCCACCCGCGCGGCGATAAGCGTTCCGCTGCGCGGGTGGACACCCCGCCGTGAACTGGAATGGGGAGTGGGGGTCGCCCCCCGTGGTCTTAAGCGTTCGACCTCGGGGGGCGGCGCCCGCTATGGCGCTTAGAGGATGGGGTTCGGCCCGCGCGGCGACAAGCGTTCCGCTGCGCGGGCTGGTCCCCATTGGGTGGGGAAGGAACGGGGGCATTTGTGGCCCCGGCTCCTCACTTGAGATAGACGGGGCATCGCGGCCGTATGGACATATTCCAAAACGGTACGCGGTGTCCCGGCCCCTCGGGCCGGTCACCGGGGGGGTGGGGGGGTTGGCCGTGGGGGCCTTATCCGCTCCGCGCAGCGGAGAGCGCTCTTTGGAGGTCGCCTGCGGCTTGCCCCGCCTCCTTCGATCGGGGGGCGGCTCGGGGGGGGTGGTATGATAGTGGTGCCCTGTCTCTCGCGACGGCGTCCATTCCGAAGCGGGGGACAGGGGGAGGATAGCCACCCATGGGGAGTAAAATCCCCATGGGTGGTGCGCTGGTCGCTGTGGCGGGGAGGGTGCGGAGGGGGCGCCGACTCCGTTGCCCGAACTGTCCACGGGGCCACCCGGGTGGCGCCACCCGCGGCGGTACCCTCCGGGTGGGAGCCGAGGGACCCCCGAAAACCAAGGGCATTGCACCTCTGCCCTTGGCATGTAGGGGGCTGGAACCCAGTGTCCCCGATGACAAATTCCGGGGACCCGAGGTATAGGCCGTCTCCCCGGGGGAACTCGGGGCGTCGTTCCGGGAAACTGGACGACGAGGGTATACCCTGGACGGCACAGCCGCCGCGGGGAGTGGTATAGATACAGAATGTCAGACTCGCTAAAAAACAAAAAACAAGGGAAGACAGGGGAAAAAGGGATTGAAGACGGTAGCTCTGGGGTAGACAGGGAAGAAGCTATGGAAATAGATAGGAATCCTAGGAGCGAAACAACACAAAGCTCAAAAAAGGAGAATACCGGGGCTAGTAACCCTAATGGATCTGGGATTGACATCGACTCCGAAACCACTGGAAGAAAACCTAGAAACGCCGAGCACCTCCAGGGATAACAGACAAGCTGGAGAAACAAGGGATAGCAATGTGAACAGAAGAAGAACAGAGGATAAACTAACCCCGCCAGACACATTAAAAATGATAGAAGTGGCATCCACTCACCCCAATATCGGAGGACTGGAACTAATGGACTTGGACGATACAGTCCCCAAGGAATGGTCGTTGGACGGGGAAAAGTGGACCCACGAAGAACTCGAAGTGAAGGAACAACGGGAGAGGATGGATATAACGAAGAATTATGACCAATAGAATTTTGCAGATAAACATCAATCACTCCAAGGATGGCCATAGTCTAATGCTACAAAGAATGGCGGAAGGAGACTTCGCGATAGCCATAGTCCCGGAACCCTACATGATCCCGAGGGATAACCCACTATGGTACGCGAACGATGCGAAAACTATCGCAATAATCTGGAGAAGAACGAACAACCCGATGGTATGTGTACCGTTGGAAAAGGGTCAACACTACGCAGCGGTCAAATGGGGAGAAACAATAGTGATAGGCATGTACCTATCCCCAAGCATCACAATCGCGGAGGTGGAAACAGCGATAGAGGAGGTGGAGAGATGCGTACTGTTTTATCAGGATCACCCCATAATCTTGGGCGGGGATTTCAATGCTAAAGCAGGAATAACAAACGCTAGGGGAGTCCTGGTTGCCAATTGGACCAGTGATCTAGGCATGATCTGTCTAAACCAAGGAGGGCGTAGCACCTGCATCCGCACCACCGGAGAGTCCATTGTGGACTTAACGTTCGCGAACCAAAAAGCGGCAGCACGAGTGCTAAACTGGGAGGTATCCGACCTGGAAAGTGCCTCGGATCACAGATACATCGAGATCTCACTCGACAAATCGACCTCCCAGGTCAGAAAGGAGAGAAAGCACAATAACAAGAGATGGGCAATCAAACAACTGGACGAAGACGTCTTTAGAGCAGCGATCCTTATCGGAGAATGGGGAAATAACCATACCACCCTCCCACTGGAAGTAGACACCCTGGCGACCGACCTCCATAATATCGTTTCAGAAGCGTGTGAGGCGGCGATGCCGAGAGCAGCTCCCAGGGCACGTAGAGCTATGCCTTGGTGGAGTGAGAATCTCGCGCAACTGCGCAAGTCGGCCACAGAAGCCAGAAGAAGACTGAAACGAGGCCGCAGACGCGAAAACCTGGACGACCCTATGGAAATTGAACTCAGGATCGCGGATTATAAAGAGGCGAAGAGAAATCTAAGTAAGGCCATGAGAAAGGCCAAAGCCGTCTCATGGAGCGAATTCATAAACACATTGAATGAAAACCCATGGGGCCGGCCTTATAAAGCGGTAATGGGAAAATTGAGAAGATGGACTCCGCCTCTGACTGAAGCATTGGAAGACTCAGTCTTAAATAAGATATTGGGCGGCCTCTTCCCGCCCTGTACAATTAATTCTGAAAAGTGGACGGAACCCCCACTCCCGCGGGAGGGGTACAAATCATGGCAAGACAATTTCGAGGTCTCGGAAGCGGAAATGACGGCTGCGGTGAGAAAAATGGTAGGGAAAAATGCGGCACCGGGTCCGAGCGGGATCCCATCCAAAATCTGGGCCATCGTAGTTACAGAAACAGGAGCCAAAATAAAAAGGCTTTTCTCGACATGCCTCAAGGAAGGGCGTATGCCCTCCGGATGGAAAAGGGCCAAACTGGTACTCCTTAGGAAGCCGGGTAAACCGGAGAATCTCCCATCTGGGTACAGACCTATCTGTTTGATAGACGACGAGGCTAAGCTTTTGGAGAGAATTATCTCCGAAAGAATCACCAGACACCTAAACGAAAGAGGTCCTAACTTGAGCCCGTCTCAATTTGGATTTAGAAGAGGAAGATCAACGGTAGACGCGATTCTCTCGGTAAGAAGATTCATGGAAGAAGCATTCGATAAGAACCAATGCGTCATAGGGGTATCGCTGGATATCAGTAACGCGTTCAACAGTATTCCATGGGAAGTTATAGGGAGAGCTCTGAACATCCACCGAGTTCCGCTGTATCTCCGACGAATGGTCAGAGACTACCTGACAAACAGACAATTGGTGTTCCCGGGTAAGAATGGAACCGAGAAAGGAAGAACAGTGGAAAGAGGAGTCCCACAGGGCTCGATCCTCGGTCCACTGTTGTGGAACATCGGTTTTAATGGAGTTATGGATGAAGAAGATCTGCCGGCGGAATCAAGAGTGATTTGCTACGCGGATGACACGATGGTACTAGCGTACGGTAGAAACTGGGAAGAATCAATATTGTGCGCAGGAGAGGCGGTAAGCACTGTCATTCAAAGGATAGAGGAACGAGGCCTTACAGTGGCCCCACAAAAATC